GTGTGGAGAGGGTGAATACAGAAAAGTTATTCATTAGTTCCCATACTGTAAGGTCTAGAGGACACCAAATGAAATTAATGGGTAGCAGGTTTAAAACTAATAAAAGAAAGTTCTTCTTCACACAGCGCATAGTCAACCTGTGGAACTCCTTGCCAGAGGAGGCTGTGAAGTCTAGAACTATAACAGAGTTTAAAGAGAAGCTAGATAAATTCAGGGAGGTTAGGTCCATAAAAGGCTATTAGCCAGGGGGTAGGAATTGTGTCCCTGGCCTCAAGTTTGTCAGAGGCTGGAGACAGATGGCACGAGACAAATCCCTTGATCATTGTCTTCGGTCGACCCACTCCGGGGTACTTGGCACTGGCCACTGTCGGCAGACAGGCTACTGGGCTAGATGGACCTTTGGTCTGACCCAGTACGGCCATTCTTATGTTCTTTTATTAGTTTTCAATTAGGTATCTACTCAGATCTCTGTGGGATCAGCCAGGGATGCCAAAACTGGTCTGCTATTCTACACCTTCCTTCCTTCAGCAGCTCTAAAATCCCATCAAGTCACATCTCTGCATACCTCTTCAAAAATCTACAAGGTCCCAAGAAGGGATGGTGCAGTAAACTTTTCGTACAAAGACAGACATAGGATTGGCATCGTCTGTCAGTGGAGGAATATCCATCTCATGATCAGTACAAAAACGGCTCTGTGCTCCGGCTGACAAACCACAACCAGGAAAAGAAAAAAAGAGAACAACAATAATAATGGTTTTTATTATTTATAGAACTACACTTCTTGTTTACTTAACATTTGGAACATTTCAATGTTACTTTGTAAAATGTACCTTATGTTAATTCAACAGTCAATACTAGTTTTTCTCTTTCGTTCAGTTCCTTATTAAAAATGACATTTCTGATTAGTGAAAACAATGTCAGGATGATTCCGAAAGCAATTTTTGAGAAAGTTGTTGTTTGCTGATAAAAATATTGCTTAAAATTCACAGAAAATGTCCTGGAAATAAAAACAATTCAAGATGTATGACAAACTCTTTTTGCCAGAAATTTTTTTTGGGAAACAATCGTTTTTCAAGTTAAAACAAGTTGTGCAAAAAGTCAATTTAAGAGTAATTTATTTATTATTAGCAGATTTAACTGGCATCACTCAAGCTCTTAACTCAGTTAAGGGTTTGGTTTTGTTTTTAATAAAAGCAAATGTACATGTTTTACTTAAATTATTGTATTTTTAAAAAATACTGTAGAATGTTATTTTTATGAAGGTATTTTTATTTCAGATTTTTTTAAAAGGGGATTGTTAAAATTTTCCCATTTAATTTTTTAGTAATTTTGAAATGGGAATTCCATCAAGTGTATTTTTTTCTTTGTCCCTTCGACCCAGGGTTGTGAATTCAATCCTTGTGGAGACTATTTAGGGATTTGGGGCAAAAATTTGTCAGGGATGGTACTTGGTCCTGCTGTGAAGGCAGGGGACTGGACTTGAGGACCTTCCAGTTCTAGGAGATTGGCAATCTCTATTATTATTATACCATTCGATCGATATCAAGTTCAAAGCATGACGACATCTCAGCGTGACATGCATTGGGCTTATTGGCCTGCGACTGCATCAGCCCATATATGATGTAGTGAAATGTTCAATGCTGCTCATAATGGTGTGACCTCTAGTCACATAGTACATGGCAATCAGCAATAATGCTAAAGGAAATAGAGAATCGAGTGTGTGACATTTGAATGTGGTTTGGATATTGTAGACTGTGAGTTTCCAAGCCAGGCAGTGATCTTTCAATGATTCATGTTCTACATTTTTTGCTTATGCCACAAGACTAAATGTAAAGCCTGATGCTGCTTTCATTTACACCAGTGTTAATCTGGAGCTAAACAGAGGCCTAGTCTACATTTAAAGATTAGCTGGACCTAGCTATCTTGCTCAGGCCTATGACAAATTTCATTCTCTTGTACAACACAGTTAGATTGACCTCATCTCCCACTGTAGCTGCACCTGTTCATAATGGAATTTTTCTATTGACCTAGCTACCACCTCTCAGAGAAGTAGATTAACTACATCCAGAGCTGTCCCATCCATAGGACAGTGCAGGGTGGCCACCCAGACCCCAGACTCCCAGCCAGGTTGCTATGCTTCCTGACACCACAGAGAGCACGGGGCTAGCCCAATCCCTGCTGCCAGCCCCTGGGTTCTGTCACTCGAGGGAGGAGGTGTGGGAGAAGGGATGCAATGCGGTGGGAGAGGCAGGGAAGGGCTGCAATGGAGGTGGGACAGGAAGAACAGGGGTGGGAAGAAGCGGGGTGGGAGCAGAACAGGGGCTCGGTACAGGTGGAGCGGGAAGGGGGGGGGGATGCTGTCCCAGCCCCTACATCTCTCTAGGGATGGTGTTAACTGCATCTATGAAAAAAAACCTTCCATCAGCGTGGGATACATCTAAACTGCAGCGGCTCAGCCACCGTGCCGTGGCTGTGCCACTGAGGTGCAGACCGGTGATTTTTGAACTATGGGTTGGGTTGCGGAATGCCAGGGAGTGGGTGACCTTGCTGTGGGGTGACCAGGTGACAAGCGGGGCTGCTAAGGCCAGCTCCCTGCCTGTCCTGGCACTGTGGACCACGCTGCGCCCTACAGGTCCAGCTCCTAGGTGGGGGAAGGATGATGGATCTCCACTTACTGCTCCCACCCTGATCACCAGCTCTGCACTCCCATTGGCTGGGAACTGGCCAATGGGGACTGGAGGCAGCAGTGCCTGTAGGCAAAAGCAGCATGCAGAGCTGCTTGGGTGCCTCCATGCAGGAGCCAGATCTGCTGCTGGCTGTTTCTGAGGTACAGGGCAATCTGTGGTGGCAGGAGAGGCAGGAAGCCTGCCTCAGCCCCCCTGAATGGCAGAGCTACCCTGACCAGTTCTGGTGGCCTACCCAGCCTGAGCCCCTGTACACAGCCCCTTCCTGCAAGGCTGGGCCCAGCAGAAGTCTCCCCCCTCCATACTCACCAGTGGCAGTGGAGCAGCCTGGCCCCAGAGCACTCAGCTCCCCTGGCTCCCAGCCACATAGCTTGGGGGAGGGGTCCTGAAGAGGGAGGAACAAAGCAGGGGTGGGAAGAGGGGAGAACAAAGCAGGGGTGGGACAGAACAGGGAACCTGCACCCCCTAAGGATGGCCCTGCTGGGTGAAGCCGAAGGAAGGGAGGGAGGGGCTGGCCACCAGCACCACTGAATACACTGCCCCCAACTACCTAGAGCACCCCGAAATCTGGGGCACTGTGGTGCCCCAAATGGTATAGTGCTCTACAGCAGCTGCATCTTTTGCATATGGGTAGGGCTGGCCCTGCTGACTGGGAGCTGCCAGAAATAAGCCCAGGCCCCCAATCCCCTGCCCCCCAAACCTGGAGTCCCCTCCTGCCCTCAAAGCCTTCCTCCCTGGCCCCACGCTGGAGACCAAAGAGGCCCTATGGTGGGCGCCCGCCACCCACCGTTTTTCAACTGGGTCACGAGAAAAGAAAGTGTGAAACCCACCGGTGCCGACACCCCTGGATTTCCTGGGCGTGTGAGTAAAATCAGCCCCCCCCGACGGGCACCTTTTTAATGCGGCTCCTGACTCCGGAGGGACTGCGGCGCACGCCACAGCGGCGTGTCGCCCTTCGGGGAAGCTTTGACTCACAGGGCGGCGGCCGGGGGGC